CAGTATGAGGAGAGATTAATAAGACTGGGACTTTTCAGCTTGGAAAAGAGACCACTAAGGGGAGATATAATTGAGGTCTATAGAATCATGACTGGTGTAGAGAAAGTAGATAAGAAAGTGTTGTTTACTACTTCTCATAACACAAGAACTAGGGGTCACCAAATGAAATTAATAGGCAGCAGGTTTAAAACAAATAAAAGGAAGTATTTCTTCACACAGCCAACCTGTGGAACTCCTTGCCAGAGGATGTTGTGAAGGCCAAGACCATAACAGAGTTCAAAAAAGAACTAGATAAATTCATGGAGGATAGGTCCATCAATGGCTATTAGCCAGGATAGGCAGGAATGGTTTCCCTAGTCTCTGTTTGGCAGAAGCTGGGAATGAGCGACAGGGGATGGATCACTTGATGATTACTTGTTCTGTTCATTCCCTCTGGGGCACCTGGCACTGGCCATTGTCGGAAGACAGGATACTGGGCTAGATGGACCTTTGGTCTGACCCAGTAGGGCCATTCTTATGTTCTTATTGGCTTCCCTTCTCCCCTTTCCCCGCATTACAGGGTGGTGAGAACAGATTTACAGTGCAGGCATCATTTAAATTCATCCTCAGGTGGTATTTCTCCACAGAGTTGCATTCGCATCATATCATTGTGATACTGTTCTGTCACCCATTGTGCCAGTGATAGGGAAAGGAAACAGTACTGGTGACTTTGGTTGATGCAGTGTTGTTGTAGACGTGTTGGTCCCAGGATATTAGAGAGACAGGTTGGGTGAGGTAATATCTTGTATTGGCCCAACTTCTGTTGGGGAGAGAGACAAGCTTGAGAGCTCTTCTGCTTGAAACCTTTCCCTGACCTGAAGAAGAACTCTGTTGAAACTCCAAAACTCATCTCTCTCCCCCCAACAGAAGTTGGTCCAATAAAATATGTTACCTCATCCACCTGGTCTCTCTAATGACTGGTGCAGTCTAGTCAATGGGCATTTTAAAAGTTTACTACCAAGATCATTGGTAGCATGTGCTAATATAGGCTGGGGAAATAAACACGCTAAATCCTAGTTTGCTGGACTGCCTAGACCTAGACCTGACGTGCACAGGGGCTAAGAACGTGATGAGCGATGGGTGTCCCCACCCTCACACATCTCAGCTGCAGTTTGTCCCTGCTGAACTCTAAATGATTCGCAGGAGGAACCTGATGAATCCTGGAAATGTCCTGAGACGTGATTACTGCACATGCACCCGGGCTGTCAGGCACTTGGCTACTTCCAAACAGCTTGTTGAGACTCAACTCCTCAATAGTTTTATTTTGAACGAAGAGGGGTTGGGTTGTGGTTGTTTGGCGTTTGCTTGTTCTGCTTTGGACCATGGTATTTAACTACCCTCTGGTAACACAGAGGCCAGGTCTACTCTAAAAAGTTAGCGCCACCCAGGCATGTTGCTCAGGGGTGTGTAGACAGTGCTAGGTCCAGGGAAGAATTATTGTGGACCTAGCTACCTCCTCTAGGAAGCTGGATTTACTACAGGGATGGAAGAACCTCACCCAGAGCGTCCACACTGAAGCGCCATTGTAGCGCAGCTGAAATTGGGGGAGGGGGCTTCCCATTTTGCCACTCTGGTCATTTACAGCACACACAAAACTTACAACCGGTCAGATTCAAGACGGATAGGACTACATATGCCTCGGAGATGAACCCATCCCCACCCTCACATCAAAAGTCACTCGGAAGGGCGCCCTGGTTTTTGCCCCTCTTCCTGGTCCTTAGTCCTGAATGTTTAGGGGACGGTTTGGAAATCTAGGTGAACAGTGGACAACGGCCAGTGCTCCTGTGGGTGAAAACCAGCCACACTAGTAGGTGTTTAACATCGGCCTTTGCTCCGATTTCCCCAGCCAGCTCTGCTCCATCGGTTCAGTCCTGCTCCTGATTGAAACACTCCTTTCCCCGGGCTCCTACACAGACGAAGAACCTTGCCCGACTGATCGCGTATTAGACAAGAGGGTCTATGACCTTAGCAGACTCCCTGCGCCTCGGTTGTATTTATTTTCTTTCTTTCTTTTGTATTGAGGTCTCCAGAGGAGAAGACTTTAGAAGAAGGGCACCAGGCGCACCTCACACGGACGATGAAGAATAGCAGGTGTGAAAGCTGAATGTTGCTACTCGCTGATGACATCTGATCTCTCCCTTCACTCCACGCACACAGCGGAGCGGGCTCTGATCCGGCTCTCCCTCGCGCCAAACTTCCGTTGGTTTCCACTGCAGAAGCATTGGGCGTTTTACCTAAAACTGCCCTGATGTACAAGAGAGGAGCGGTGACCCTACAGGAGAGGCGTCGAGGGAGCTACCCCGCTCTTTAGCGATAGAAGGAAGCCAGGCTGCACAGTGCAGCCCCAGAGTCAACACAGCTGAGAACTCCGGAGCTGGCTCCCAGTTTGCCCAACAGCCCCTCGTGCCCGTGTAGTTCCATCTGAGTGGAGACATTTGTCAAAGGAAGAATGTGTGGCCCGTGAAGCGCACCTGCAAAGACGGGGAATCCCGACAGGGGGAGCTGAACCCAAACCTTCCCCGCCCGATAGACCACAGCCCTGACTCTTTCCCATTTCTCTCCAGAGCAGTAGGCGGCTCTTGGTTAGAAGGGGAATTGGGATAAACCCAAAATACTCTCCCCGCCCCCAATATCCTCAAAATTCTTGGGTCAGACATTCTAATCCAGTATCAGAGGGGTAGCCGTGTCAGTCTGAATCTGTAAAAAGCAACATTCTAATCCAGTTCGTACAGACACCCGAGCAAACGTGCCTTAGATACAAATTGCACATAGGGGAAATACACTGGTGTCTGCCTCTTTCCCGGTTACCTTTGCTATCATTTAACAAATGATCGGGCAAACTAAATCTACCTGTAGTTTTTATTTCAGTCTCTCTTTTTGGTCTGACCTGCAAAACCACCAGCACTCTGACCCGATTAAACAGTCTCCTTTCTCTCCATTTCCGCCAGCCCATCATACCATTGGTATATTGGGCAAAAAGAAAGTCGGGGGCGGGGAGAGCGGGGGAATCCAACTGCTCCATCGCCAGTGTATTAGTTAGTGTTCTCATATCCATTCCATTCAGGGCGCCATCCAATGTTCAGGCATCTCATGGTACCTGAGTTTGGGGAGAAAATGGAAAGCGATGCTGCAAGCAACCTTAGCTGCCCTTTCAGGTGCGTTGTTTTGCACCTATTTGTTTATTTTACAAATAAAATCTTCTCTTAAGGCCCCAATCGCTAATCTTATGTATGGGGAAGGGAGAGTACTTCCGCTTTTACAGCACTTTCCAACACATATTTAGACAAACTAAATCGGTTTAAAGTTTAAACCCATTCTACAGATTCATATCAAACAGCCGTTTCCCAGCGCACCACGACAAAGGGACCACTCATTGTTTACAAAATGGCAAACTGCTATTTAACCTGACCTGACCTCCTAGGCCTGTCCCTACAACCAGCTTGACTCGCTTCCCTGCACAGCCCCTTTCTACAGAGCCGGAACCCGGGTGCCAGTCCAGACCCTGGAAACACCGGGAAGGGCAGGGCGCCCGGTGTGATCATGTGATCCGTTCGCAGCCAGGACCTGGAGATCTGTGTTCATGGGCAACACACCGCACAGAAATATTGTATCCTCTAAGCTCGGGAAAGAAACCTGAATTGTCCAAATATTTGCTCACAACGTACCACGCAGCTGGGAGACGTGTACAAACTCCAAGGGTCTGCCGGGACTGAGCAGCTGTAGCTTCCCAAGAGCTGATCATTTGTCAGGGATCTATTTATTTCGCAAGCTCCCTGAAATTCCTCCCTGGTGTCTGCGGCCACACAGTCGTAGCGCTTGTGCCCAGGCAATGCTCTCTAGTCTCCCACCTTCTCTCCCGGAGAGCATCGGAACGCGTTATGCTCCGCTCCTCTCTATTGACTTTCCGCCCGGTCGATACATTGTCTTCCCACGCGCGGCCGTGGGTGTCAGACACTGCCCTGCCCAGGTGCAGTGAGCAGCAGACGGGCTTGAAACCCATTCGGTGTAACCTCAGCTCGACCCCCTTCGGGTGTGTGGGGGAAAGGGGACAGTTCCAAGCCCTTCCTTTCTGAACTACAACACGACCCGAAATTCAAATGCGGACAACGGCTCTACACGTCAAACTGGAGGGCGAGGAAGCTGCTAAGGGCATGTGAGGCTGGTTCGCAGCTGGCGCCTCTCTTCGGATTCGCCCGCACCCATTTTGCTGCCCTCGCCCTCTGGAAAAGATGTTCCCGGCGAGTTAGTCTATTTCATGCCAAACAAGGCGTTCCCGAGGAGAGCCCCTGAACTCCCCCTCTCTGGAAGAGGGTTACCTGGGGCAGCAGGTCAGCTGCCGGCCTGTCTGAGCACCGCGCGCGGCTCCCACAAGGCTCATGGCTCTTTTCGGGAGGAGGCAAATAAATAATAGTAGCAAAAGAAGCCCCTTAAAGATGCTGCTTTTACTAATGGCTGGGGACAGCACCCGATTGGGGGAGGTTAATTTGTTTTGCGACAGGAGAGATTCAAAATAAATACATAACGTAAGATCTCCTTCCCGGGCTCATCCATTCTTCCTCCCCGCTTTCTGTCTAGGCAACGGCCGGTAGGAGCGTGCTTAGTTTTTAAGGCTGGATTGGCAGCTTCTACTGAGCAGCTAATAGTATAACAACCCGGCTTTGATAAATCCGAGCTAATTACCCACTCTTAATTAAAGTCTTTAGCAGTTGTTTCAGTGTTTTGGCAAGAAAACAGGAGAGGTTTGCAGTTAGAAAACACCAGAGCCTAAGCTCACAGCAGAGCTGCTGATTAACACTTGGAGCATTTCAAGGACCTGGCATCAGCCACAGTTTTGATTTCCATCCATCTTCCCTTCTTGATTAAACATAAATACACACACACACACACACACCTCTGTTGGTATTACCTGTCATCCGCCCCCAGCCTTTCGTTATCAATACATTAGGAATCGGTATGGTGGGATCACAGCTCTTTAATAGTATCATTGGTCTTGTAGCTGAATAATTTAAATAGCTAATGCGCCCTTGATGATTCAATCATCATGCTCCAAGTATTTATTTCCACCAGGTCAACGAATTCATTTTCCACGTGCAAGAATCAAACTGAAATTCAAATCCGTACATAGTGAACCAGCTCTGGCCATAGAGATACGATATTCAGGGAGGGGGTGAAGGAGGGGAAGCTATCAAGAAGGGACAACCAGCAGGCATCGGAGACAGGGCAGAACCAACACATATATATACACACATCGAAATAATTAAGTGGTGCAGCATTCCCGGCTCGGATAATACAGATCCCAATAAATACAGCAGAAATTGGCTTGGCTTTTTTTTTTAACCATCTCTAACCCTGAGATGTTAAAAAAATCGAGTCTTGAAAGAAAGAAAAACAACCCAACAACATCAAAAAGAAGGAAACGACCAGCCATCAATGTTAGTGGCCAAATAGAGCGTAATACACAAAACCGCTTAACAGGTGCATGCAAAGAAGCAGGAGGGTGGTTGCAACGGCGGGGCTCCTGGTTGCTTTCCCTGCTAATAGGACCGGCGGAGCTCCGGGCTTGCAGTTCCCCTCACGGATGGTGCGGCTGTTGCAGCAGCGGGCCCGACGGCTGCAGCGTCTGGTCTGGCCCCGGCTCGGCAGGGGCTCGCGGCAGTCCCAGGGCGCTGTCGTGCAGCTTGCGGACGTGCTTCTTGAGATCAAAGTTCCTGCAGAAGCCCTTGCCACAGGTGGGGCAGGTGAAGGGCTTCTTGTCGTTGTGGGTGTGCATGTGGAAGGTCAGGTTGTACACCTGATGGAAAGCCTTGTTGCAGATATTGCACTTGAACTGCTTTTCGCCGCTGTGGGTCAGTTTGTGGTTTTTGTAATTACCTGGGAACAGACAAGTCAAGGGTCACAGACGCTACACAGGGGAGAGAGTTTTGCCCTCTCCCCAAACCCCGGCTCGAGATGAAAATGGCAATTGACCGTTTTTAACTAAAACATAACACAAACCACCCACCCACAATATTCCGGTTAGGAAATGTATTGTTAGAACCAAACGGTAAAGCGCTGAAAAAAACCAGATTTATAAACTCCGCAAGATATGTATTTTAAAAAATTCTACACGATAGCATGATGATTACTAGAATCCAAGATTCATATTAAACAAAGATTCTTACACCTGAGCAAAAAGATGAGCAGTAAAAAATTGCACTTGGGGTGGGGGAATTCAAGTAGGTTGAAAATTGCATCTTGCCATGTGAAATAAAAACGAAAGTTCTCTTTTTTCATTCCTCTACAAGCTTAAATCGGACACTTCAGATACCGAGTATTCAATATAAAAAAATGATCTCCAGGTTAAAACTGAGCCAAGGGTTTGAAATAAATAAAATACAATAATTAATAAATAATAAAGCAAGCCCTCTTGCAAATTGTTTTGATTGTTTACCTACTAGGGGTGGGATTCTGAGGAGAATAACAAGAAGCGGTTTGAGACTTGTACCTTTTTGATGAAATCCTTTGCCACAAAATTCACAAACAAAAGGTTTGTAGCCGGCATGGATTCGTGTGTGTGTGTTTAAAGTGGAACTTCGGTTAAACGCTTTGCCGCACTGGTTACACTTGTGAGGCTTTTCCTATAAGGAAACAAAAGCAAATATTGAAGTAAGTGCATGGCAAAGCGCTTTCCAGTGCTTGGAAATCTGTGGCTTTATAGAGACGTGAGACCGACGCAAAGTCTGTTTAAAAAACGAACGAAAACAAAAACCAGCGCCTCCCGACCAAATGACCCCGCTTTTAACAGTGTTCTGTCGGATCGGATCAGCAAAAGCAGGTGGAAATACGCAGTGCAATAGGCGTGAGAGATATTCACCTGGGTGTGTATGATCTTGTGCCGGCAGAGAGTACTTGCTTGTCTGAAGCCCTTGCCACAAACTTTGCAAACAAAGGGTCTGGCTCCTGTGTGGACTGGCATGTGGCGAGTTAAATTATAATGTGCATTAAATACCTTGAAAGTTAAATCAGAAAAAAAAAACAATTAGAATCATAAAGCAACTGGGGAAGGGGGTAGTTCTAAAACGGGAGCAGACAAATGGATAGAAACTTTATGGGAGCAAAGGAAGTTAGTTACTTGCCTTTCCACAAACTTCACACGTGAAAACTTTGGGCTTGCTGCTGGGAGAGCTCCGGCTGAACTCCGAGCTCTTGAACGCGATTTTTTCCGATAGGATCTGGGCACTTTCTTTCATGTAGTGTTGGAGCTGAGCCTGCGATAAGTCTTTAAAGGCCACTCCGGAAGGGTACTTTTCCACGGACGGCAGCACCAGTTTGTTTCTCTCCGCCAGGTACGCCTTGGGCTGCGGGTGCAAAGGCGAGCTGAGGAAATAAGAAGCCACCGGGTGGATGTTGACGCTGGACGATGGGTGACAAGGGCCGTCGCCGCGGTTGAAGTAGCACAGCGCTCCCATGGCGTGGAAAGAGGAGTGATTGACCACTCGCGGTCTCACCAGTTTGTACTGCTGCAGGGGCAGGGCGTCGCGGGGGAAATCGCCTTTTAGGCTCAGGGCACAGTTCAATAGATCGCCGCAGCTGAAGGGGGAGGCAGAGGAGTCCAAGTGAGCCTTCCTGCCCTCTGATCCGGCCATCCCCGCTTTGGGGAGGGGGTCGTACGCCACCGGGACAAAGGGGATCATGCAGGGGATGGAGGAGTTGAGGTGCAGAGAGTGTTTGGGGTCTCCTTTGGGCACGGATCCTTGGAGGAAGGGCGGCACCGGAATGGACTTGGGCTCTGGAGTCCTGGCCATGATTCGCTCAATGGAGAAAGCCAGGGGTTTGGAGGTGCTGATCATGTTGCTTCGAGCAGACAGGCTCTCTCTGGCTGGAGAAGTTGCTAAGATTTTGGTCGCCGTGTGGTGGCAACTATTGTCCATGGCTGGCTTGCATTTGTTCGCCGGTCTGAGCTGCTTTGGTAGACGCCTCTTTTTTGTCCCCTCTCTCCCTCTCCCCCTTTTTCTGGTCACTGATCTGCAAGGAGGGAGATCAGCACCGTCGCCGCCACCACCATCACCAGAGCCTCCGCCGGCGGAACCAGCCTTCCCGGTCCAGTGGACTCATGCCAGCCCATCACAGTTTACTTTGTCGCACCAGTGACTTAAGGACAATCGCTGCTTATTTCTATCAATAGAAAGTGTTGTGTCAATAACGCAGCCAAGATCTCGCCAATCGTTAACTTCCAAGAGGAGAAGGTAAACTAGATAATTGCTCAATTCGCTTCCAACAGTCAACAGGAAAAGTTCTCCCCCCCACACACACACACATCCCCACTCCCCTAGTAAGCGACTACTTTTCATTGGAGCCGCAGGCTCCCCCTCCCAGAGAAGGAGGTGTCTCTCTCCCTTCTCTTCCCCCTCGCACGCCCCCTCCCTCTCTTTTTTTGTTATTCGCAGTCTGTTTCGCCAGGCTTTAGAGGCCAAGCCGAACCGACATCAATGTTCTTGTTTGGCTCCAAGTGACAGCATCTAAAATCATTGTCCACGTGCTAAATAAGGAGACGGAGCCCAATTTGGGGGCGAGCGGGGAGCTGCCGGAGAAGCGGCTCTAGGGGGGGGGAAGCTGGTTGTTTCCTTGCCACTTTCCAGCCTAGGCTCCGGCGTGGGGAGGGGCGGGGGGTGCTGGCTGCTCTGAGACTGCTGCCCTTCTCGCAGGCGCTGGTCGGGGGCTTACACCACGGCTTGGAGGACTTTGGTCTTGTGGAAAAGACAGCCAACAAACGGGCTGAACCTTGCCCCAGATCAGATCGCCCCAGAATTCAAACGCAAATGGCTAGACAGAAACCACCGGTGTCAAGCCGAGTTGAGACCGAATAACCAAAAGCTGAATCACAATTTGGAGGAAGGAGGAAACCGACACCTTATATATGCACTCCCTGTGTGTTTCAGCTGTGCCTAGAGGCCTTAATCTTGACGGGGAATCCCTGTCTACATAGAGGGAGCCAGGCTCCTTGCTCCTCTTGTTTACAATCAAAGCACAGGAGTAAGACAGCGTGGCTGGAGGAGAAGGTTACCATCGATTTTTTGCCGATCTATTCATTTTGTAGACACGATAATCTACAGCTAAAGCAAGTGTCAGTTATTCCCGTCTACCCCGGCCATTGGCTGGTATTATATAAAGAGAGAGGCCTGCAATTCCCGACAAATCTGTGTACAGTCCGTCTCTGCTAGAGGCAGCAAAGCAAAAGGCTGCACGTGCGCCTGGCCAGGGGCATTGCCGTGGGTGCATGGGGTCCCCACTGCACTGGGCAGGTCTTCTCCCCCGTCTCCTGAGCTGCTGACGCTTTCTGGGGCCCTTGGTCGGGCCTGGATGTGGCCGAGCAGCCGCCCCTTTTGCACCGCCCGGAAGTGCCTGTTGCATGCTCCCCCTGAGCGGCTCCGTGCCCGGCTGCTCACAAGGGCCTTTTGAACACGTGGGAGGCGAGGAAGAGCTCAGCCCGGGCATAGCCAGCTGGGGATGTCCCCGAGACTGGCTCCCTCTAGTCTCCGCATTTCAGGCTGGCGAAACGGGGTAGCTGGGGGGCAGCAATATCCCGCTCCCCAACCACCCAAGCCCTTCTCTGAGCCCGCGGAAGCAGGGAGGCTGGCGCAGAGGGATGGACCAAGGCCCTGGACCTTTTTAAGGGGGGAGGCTCCCGCGGGCTCCAATGGAGGCGCCCGAAATGGGGCCAGGATGGCAGAGAAAGGTCGCCCTACACGCACCTGGGAGTCCGGGCCGGGGCAACGCCCTGCTAGAAACCCTGCAATAGCCCATCCGGACCCAGCCCCGACGACCTCCCCTGACCCTCTGCGGGGGCCCGGGCGTGCCGGGCACGGAGAAGAAGCTGGACAAGGGGCTGATTCGCCACCTCCTCTGAGACAGAGAAGGGTGGATCCGCCTCTCGCAGTGGCGCAGACATCTGGAGAGCCAGGTACCCAGGGCCCCTCACCCCTGGCACCCCGCGGTCGGTGGGGCCGGGAGGTGAAGTGGGCCGCGATTTCTACAGGCCTCCTGGGAGGAGGGGGGGGGCCTGTAAGGATGCTGGCACTGGGAGGTCTCCCTGCCCCGGATGCACTGGTGGCTGTGGCTCGAGATCTTTCACGTGGGGAGGGTGGGCTCCCTCGGGACCATGGGACGGGCAGGGACAGACTGATCCAGGGCTCGTAGTTCGGCTTTGCTTCACGCTGGCGAGGCAACATGGGGCCAGTGTGTTGGGGGTGTTCCTGGGGTGCGGGATCCCATCCCTTCCCACGGCACCAGCCTGTGACCCCTGCCCTGGGCGTGCGTCCCCCGCATGCAAAGCTCTCCCCACGGCGCGGGATCAGAGCTCCTCTGGCGGGGACAAAAGCCCCAAGGCCTCGGAGTCCTCGGGGAGGAAGGGTGAGGCTTGTGAGTGGTGGGAGCAGGGTGGGGAGATGCCCGGGGCCGCTGAGTCGTGGGAAGTGGGGGGCTGAGCACGGGATGGAGAGCAAGGGCTGGGCCAACAGAAGGGAGGAGCGGGGAGCTCGGCGAGCCACGGTTTGGGCTACACCGACTTGGGGGTGCCGGGCAGAGCTCCACGTCTCTTCTCTTTCCCTGCTGGGCGCTGCTCCCTCCTGGGCGCAGACAAAGGGCAAGCGGTGGGGGTTACCAGGGTGAGGGTGGCCGCTGGAGAGGGTCCCGTGGCAGATGGGTCGCGGTTAAGACTTTAATTGCTGCCTTTTAAGCGCTGATCAGGTTCCCATAGGCGGGGTCATCTTCTTACCTGCTGCTTCCTGCCTCGGCACCGAAAGCCCAAAGACTCCTCCCGCGGCTGGGCACCGATTTAAAGGCGCACCAGAGAAACTGCAAACACTACGTCTGAATGAGCTTGACAGGGACACAAATAAAATCAGATTAGAGGATCCCGGAACTGTGCAGGGGTCACTTCGTCCAACTTGAGAGATCTTCGTTTTCTAGCGTGTAAACCTCCCGGGTCTATTTTGTGCCTATTCTAGCAGAGTTTCCTGCTTCCGAACAATTTACATTAAATTTGATCTAGACAAATTTCCTTTTAACTGATAGTAAAGAAAAGAATTATTATGGGGTGAGGTTAGAGGCTTCAAATCCCACATACTTGATAGGTTAACAGGTTGCTTTTAACTGGTCTTTTGGGGATTGACTTTTTGACATGCGTTGGAAAGTAACATATATGTAGTGTCATTTGAGCAGTGTAAATATCCCAAAGCAGCAATGACAGCCCGTCCATTAGGATAATACTGGCCTTCTTAATGCTGAAGTGGTAAAGAGGGCGCTTTGGAAATCTTGATTATTCGTTATTTGTTAATGGATATTTCCCCCTCTGTACCTAGTATAGATGAAAACTTGAGTGCAAGCCAAATTAATAAACAGAGGCACAGATCTCTTGTCAGGCTCAGCTTCTGTTTGAGAGAAGGGAGTTTTGCGAATGCAAAAATTGCTGAAAATCTTTCCCGGACCTTACATTTCACTTAGGATCACGCTTTTCTAACGGTATTAAACTGACGGGTTTGCTAAGCTACCAGCACCTCTCCAACAGAACTGCTGGTGCTGAAGGGGGGTATTCCTGAAACGCTCAGATGTGTACGATTCGCGGTGGTAAGAGTGACGGCTTGTCTGCTTCTATTTTCAAAGGGCATTTTCGGCTGTCTTCTAAAGGGTGTTTCACCATTTGTTTGCCTTTCTTTTTCCAATCTCTGGCCCTTCTCTCCAGACAGATTCAGGGGGTAAGTGAGTTGTCCTGGAGGGGGAAGTCTGGTCTGTTCTGCCTGGGGAAGTAACAAACCCCAGGTGACCTCCCCAGAGTTAAAAACCTTCTGAGGAATTAAGGGCAAAAGTTTGAGTGCTGAACAGTAATTTCGTATCCTCTCTGGGAAAGCTGCTGTTCTCTTTTTTCCCGTAATCGGTTTTGCATTTCATTCGCTCCTAAACTATGTTCTTGATATTGCTCACTTGCATTATTCTCATAACATATCTCTACATGCGTTTAAATCCGAGCCACAGGCGAATTCATCTCGTGGTCAAGATTACTCCAATCTGAACCCAAAGGCGATTACAGCGATGTAAAATACCGCCTAAACCTTAATCTTTCATTTCTTCCTTCGTAATAAAACACACAAATTCCATTGCGTTTTTAAGTAAAAAATGAATTGAAAAGCATAATAATTTCTCCAACCTTCTGCTGCGTGTATTAATCTTCTCCTGGACGTGTTTTACAGTCCCCCTAGGAACAGGCTGTATTTCACCCTCGGATCTGGATAAAGACAACAAGCTTCTTTCACTTGCTGCAGATTAGCTACAGGAGAAGAAGGCGACGGGAATCTAGCGTGTTTTATTTGGGATTATGTTTCTGAGCGATCTAGGAAAGAAGCAAGGAGGTTACAGACAATACTCCTGCCTGCTTCATTGAAGGACTCTGGCGGCTTCCTCTGTGTCCGATTATTATTTTTAGTCACTTTGATTCCTTTACAGCCACTGCTTTGTTCATATTAGCTAATCAATCAGTCAATCAATCACCAGGATCACATCTTTACAATCCAGCATTGTTAAAGGGGTGATTTGCCCTCAAACAAAAGCCAGGAAATCCAGAGCTAAAACTGCCACTCCATCCCCTACACGGCTCTGTTGTATTGCCAGACGCTCAGAATAGCGCCTTATATTCTACACCGTGCAATTTGACATACCTGGCCACAATGGAGTAAATTAACCCGGCATTGCCATGGATTTTTCAATAGGGAAATTAGCCCCTGGTGGTTGTTACTGTTGTGAGGTATTACAGTTATTTTTTTTAAATGAATGTGTCTCTAAAATATAAACGAGAAATAGTTTATATAAAAGATTTACAAAAAAAGACGAGGGGAACATAGACCTCTGGCTTACTATCAGAGCCACCGGACCAATGTAATTTTATTGGAACAGGTTCAGTTGTAACCGCTCCTATCAACAACCTTTTGGCAGAACGCTAAGTTGCATTCCTATTCCGTAGTGAATTGTTGTTCCCTACTGCCCTGATCTCGTGGAGTGAGAATGCTAGGCATTGACATACTTCATGAGCCAATATAATAATGAATGGAGCTGTTATGATATGATGTTAGCAGCAAAGTCCTTTGAAAATCAGCAGGTTTATTTCTGAAGTATCCACGCTATATGTAGAAGGAATACTGGTGTAGGACTTTTTTGTTGCGTAGGACATTTAGGCATCCTTATCTACTTAACTCAATCGTTTATTTTTTCTCCCCAGCAATATATA